TAATTTTGGATTGATTTGACGATTATATCCATAGATTTAACAGTTTTTTTTTGATATAGTGACTATTTAAGAGCATCCATATTAACGTTAGAGATCATGAGTGATACAAAAAAACTTTAAGGATGCAATATGATAGTTTCGTAAACGTCAGAGACGTTTTGGGATAAAAATCCTTTTTAAAAATAAGAAAAAACCTGTCCCGACGAAAAGAGCTGAAAACTATGCAAGCCATTCCAGAGCTTGACGAAGCTTTCGTCAAGCTGCTGGAAAACTACCCAAAGCACCTGTTCATCCACCATAATCTATGTCTCTCACTCTCTCTCTCTCCCCTCAACAAATCCTCATGAAATCATTACTTCAAGCCTCTATTCCTCATAGGAAACCCAAGCCTTCTCTCTCATGCTAAACTCACGAATGCTCAGCTCCCATGCCACAAGCTTCTTATGCCAAGCCAAAAATTTATCTATAAGCGACTGTTGGTTTCATTGGTGAAGAAGACCAAGGTGTTTCCTAAGGCTCAGCTACCCTTTTGAAACACTCTTGGGGGCCTGATTCTTGAACTCAGACTCAAGGGGCAATTTCATACATTTGGCTCTTTACGGCAGTCCATGCCCATCAGCAGCTGTCGGAACGAAAAAAGCCCCTACAAAATTTACAACCAAATTTCATTAGGTCACGTGTCACATGTAAAAAAAAAAAAAAAAAAAAAAAAAAAAAAAAAAAAAAAAAAAAAAAAAAAAAAAAAAAAAAAAAAAAAAAAAAAAAAAAAAAAAAAAAAAAAAAAAAAAAAAAAAAAAAAAAAAAAAAAAAAAAAAAAAAAAAAAAAAAAAAAAAAAAAAAAAAAAAAAAAAAAAAAAAAAAAAAAAAAAAAAAAAAAAAAAAAAAAAAAAAAAAAAAAAAAAAAAAAAAAAAAAAAAAAAAAAAAAAAAAAAAAAAAAAAAAAAAAAAAAAAAAAAAAAAAAAAAAAAAAAAAAAAAAAAAAAAAAAAAAAAAAAAAAAAAAAAAAAAAAAAAAAAAAAAAAAAAAAAAAAAAAAAAAAAAAAAAAAAAAAAAAAAAAAAAAAAAAAAAAAAAAAAAAAAAATATTACCCCTATATCTGCATGTCTAATGAAATGAATTTAGGGGGCCTTCTGAAACCAAGGCTCACTCCAAAAGCTCATACAAGAGGATATTGATTGGCACTACTTTTGCCGGTGCTCTAGTACTAGTAATGGTGCTCTGCATCGGGTTCCATCTACAACGAAGAAAAAAGTTTGTACTTTCAGCTGGTATATTCTTTAAACTTTATGTGTACATGTTAAACATAATTTTCGCATCTTTAACAATTGTGTCAAATTTAAAATCTTAATTGTCTACACGATGAATCTAAACAGGCGATGGCAGGACAAACAGTCCGAACGAATTGCTCAACTTCATGATATATAATAGACCTACTGATGATTTTGATGGGCTTCAAAATGATCATGGAAACATGGGACGTCATGCTTTAAGCATATTTAGCTTTGCATCTGTCCTGGCTGCCACCTGTAACTTCTCTGAAGATAACAAGCTTGGTGAAAGGGGCTTTGGACCTGATTATAAGGTAAGGCTTAAAGTGATTAAAAAAAAAGTATACCAATAGCAGAGAAATATCATAGTTTTTAGGTTTTTTTGGGGACAACTGAAAAATATTATGAATTGCCGATTCAGGAAAAATTGGCGACAGGAAGAGAAATAGCTGTAAAGAGACTTTCCAAATGCTCAAGATAAGGAACATTGCAGTTTAAAAATGAATTAAGACTTATATATGAACCCCAACATACAAACCTTGTTCAGCTCTTTGGATTTTGCATCCATGGCAAAGAGAGGATGGTGATATATGAGTACATGCCAAACAAAAGCTTGGACTACTTTTTATTTGGTTGGGAAATTTGCCTTCGTTAATCTTTGTACTGGATTTCATTTGTTCAATTTGTTATATGAATTTTAATAAACTGTCATATATTGGACAGAATCAACCAGAGGTTTGCTCCTAGTTTGGAAGAAGCGTTTAAGTATAATTGAAGGAATCGCTCAGGGGTTGCTTTACTTGTACAAGTACTTAGGAGATTCAGGCATGGGAGTTGTGGAATGAAGGTGGAGGGCTTGAATTAATGGATCCAAATCTAGGAGATTCATGTATTAAAGATCAATTCTTAAGATGCATGCTTGTTGCTCTCCTTTGCGTGGAAGAGAATGCAGCCGATAGACCAACTATGTCAGATGTCATATCTATGCTGACAAGTGAAAGCATGGAGTTAGCTATGCCAACAAAGCCAGCATTTTACACAGAAAGAAACGTGGCCACTGCTGCTATAGCTAGATAGAAAGGGACCACAAGTTATATTGATAAAATTATTTGTCCAATTCCAATCTGGTGAGGAGTTACTTGTGTAGAATTATGAATCTAATATAAGGAAGCTGTTATTGTAATAGGATGACGTTTATATTACAGCAACTGTGTGTGAGTTCACTAAAACCCATTTCCAGCTAAGAATGATTGGACATTTATCAATATCTTACTGTCTTTTATCAGAAACTTGACTTGGGTTCTTTTTTAATGAGCATTCTTTTAAGGTTTAGCTAGTTTGAAACTTCAGCTGTGACTCATTACCTACCAGTAAAACCACCATCTGCCAAAACAAATGGTAAGTCCAGCTGCCAATTTTGATATCTGTGCAATTAAGCAACAGACTTTAACCAGAAACAAATGAGCCAAATAAATAATTAATATATGCAGCTAATTAAATATTAGTCTATAAATTATGCAGGACATAAGTGGTTGTGGGTTGGCATTGCTATTGCTGCTGCAGTACTTGTAGTGGTGTTCTGCATCTATATGCTAAGAAGAAGAATAGTTTCAGGTATAAATAATCTTTAAGCCTCGTGCATTTGTTAGACAGAATTTGCACGTTTGACATTGTTGACCTAAATTCAAATCTTTTCTCCACCAATCTAAATAAATAGGCAAGAACAGAGCAAATATACAGGACAAAATGCTTAGCTTCTTGAAACATTCCAACAGACCTACTGATGAAGAAAATATGGGACAGCATGATTTAAACATATTTACCTATGAATCTGTTTTGGCTGCCACTTGCAACTTCTCTCAAGAAAACAAGCTCGGAGAAGGGGGATTTGGACCTGTTTATAAGGTAAGGCCTTGCGTACTAAACTGTGTAGTGATTTCTTTTCTTTTTTGAAACAATTCAGGATATTGTTGAGAATCTATTCAGGGAAAATTAGCGAATGGAAGAGAAATAGCCGTGAAGAGGCTTTCAAAATGTTCCGGACAAGGAACGTCAGAGTTTAAGAATGAATTGATACTCATACATGAACTTCGACATAGAAACCTTGTTCAGCTCTTTGGATTTTGCATTCATGAAGAAGAGAGGATGTTGATATATTAGTACATGCCAAACAAAAGCTTGGACTACTTTTTATTTGGTTGGGAATTAAAACCATTTTAATCATAGTGCTTGATTTCATTTGTTATTTGATTTTTCATCACTGTCAAAATATGTAGATTACAAATAGTATTCTTCCTTAACTCTATATGTGACAGTTTCAATCAGAGGTGTGCTACTAGATTGGAAGAAGCGTTTCAATATAATTGAAGGAATCGCTCAGGGATTGCTTTACTTGCACAAGTACTCGAGAACGCGAGTAATTCATAGAGATTTAAAAGCTAGTAACATACTACTTGATGAAAATATGAACCCTAAAATTTCCGATTTCGGTATGGCAAGAATTTTCTCCCACGATGAATTGGAAGAAAACACCAGCAGGATTGTCGGGACACGGTTAGTAAAATGTCTGTGTGTTCACATTATTATCATATGTTCTACTTTTGGTTGCTAAACATGCATGTTTGAAATATATGTATTATGTACTAATTAAAGCCTTTTCCTTTTCACTTGGTGCAGTGGTTACATGCCTCCTGAGTCTGTGGAGGGAATTGTTTCTGTAAAATCTGATGTCTACAGCTTTGGGGTGTTGATGCTTGAAATCATAAGCGGGAGGAAAAACAACAGCTTCTACAATGATGACCGCGCACTCAATTTAGTAGGATATGTATGTCAAACAAATCTTTGCATTTATAATTTCTTCTTCTCAAGGTGTGAATTCAACCATTCTGATATCCTAAATGCTTATATATTTCAGGCATGGGAGTTATGGAAACAAGGTTCAGGGCTAGAATTAATGGATCAAATGGTAGGTGATTCATCATGTATTGAAGATCAATTGTTAAGATGCATCCATATTGGTCTGTTATGTGTAGAGGAAGATGCAGCCGATCGGCCTACCATGTCAGATGTGATTTCTATGTTGACAAATGAAAACCCACCATTAGCCTTACCTACAAAGCCAGCATTTTTTGTTGGGAGGAAATTGGTGGAAGCTGGTATAGGTGAAAAGCAACATGAAATTACATCAGTGAATGACTTGTCCATTTCCAATTTTGATGCACGTTAAGTTTGATCTTCAGAGGGTGCTAGCTTGTGTGTTCCTGTATTAAAAAGATTATTATCCTCTTTACACATATTTCTTGCGTATTAAGTTTTTATAATTTATTAAATTGGCATTATGTATAACAACTTCACTAGTTATTCATGTGTGCATTACTATGTATAAATCTTTATATCGGTTGCCCATTGAGAATATATGTATCGATCATGATGTTGACAGATGAAGTGCTATAATAGAATTGGAGAGTGACTTTCTTTCAATTAAAATTTCCATTTTATGTTTTGTTAGATACAGAACGACTAAACGACACTAAGTTTATGGAAAGAAATTTGTCTCAAATGTTGAGGCCTCGTTTGGTGGCTCAGCTTGGACTGCCTTGCACTGGAATAATAATATTGCTAACATTGGGCAGGCCTTGCATCTAGAGGAAGGTTTTGACTAACAAGTGGATGTGTTCCTCCATAGCCAATTAAGTACAATCATAGCCATAGACCAAAGATGGATTGAGTACATCAGTGCATGACCTTTTGAGCCTGAGAGGCAACCATTTCGAGTCTGTCCTCGGCATCTTGTGCTTTAGACTCTAAAATATGAAGGTCGAAGTTGTACTTTCTTGATGCAGCCCACAGAAGCCGTACCTAAAAAGCATTGCAAAGCCCATTTCTCAAATCCAACAAACCCTTTATGTTACTTTTTCATTGAATTGAAAATTGCAAAAAATAAATTGAAAAATATGCGAACCTCTTCTTCTAGAGCATTAAGCCTCTCATAAGTAGCCAATGGGTCTCTCTGTGACATACAAATGCAACCAAATATTATATATTTGCTTTCAATTTAGCATATACTTGGAAGCTGAAGATTTTAAGCTGAAACGGGAAACAAACCTTAAGAGTGAACAAAACAGACTGCAAATGATGGATCTTCTGCAAATGATGTATCTGGGTTTAACAAAAGTATGGAACTCAAGGAATGTGAGATGTTGTGCATGAAGAACTGCTCCTGCACAGCTTGTGCAAACTTGGATACCATGGATGGAGGAAGTGGGTGCCTGCTGTGGTTTAGTGAGCTGATTTATGTAAGAAATTTTACTGAAAATGGGCAAGATATTTATTTTAGAATGGCAGCATCAGAACTAGGTATCGAGTCATTTTTAATCTCAAAAGTCAGTGTGTTAATGCAAATTTTAAAGAAAACAAGAGAAAAAAGAAACATCTTTGGATATGGAACAGTCAATTGGGAGTTATCCATCTCTTCATGATCATGTACAAAAAGTAAAGTCAAAACATATCAAACCCAAAGGTTGTTGCTCTATAATTTTGGATTTGGACACAATTATCAAACTCTACTTTCAAAATTCGTCTGTTAAGATCAATGGATGATAGACATTACAGAAATTTTTTTTTTTTCTTTCTTTATCAATATCTAACTTCTCACTCTTTTTGCTTTCAAATATAGTTCCTGCCTAGATCATGAAGACTATACAACAATAAGTGCTAAACCTGCTAAACCCAATTTCCGCCCCGGGGGCTTAGACCACTTGGGTTATATTTTATAGTCTCATTGAATGTGGAGAAAGTAAGAATCATAGTAGGCAGTATTGTGTCATCTCCTGGGCTCCTCCTGGGTGTAGCTCTGTTTTTTCTAATGAAATTAGGTGTGAACCATAGAAAGGCCACATTTGGTCTATTTCATCATGGTCAACTCACTCCAACCCAGCGCCAGGGGTTTTCACCCTTGATTGGGACCCCAATGGACAACAATTGAATATCAAGAAAAGTGGGGTGGTTTATTGGACAAGCGGAATCTTTACAACAATTAAGGGAAGATTTGATTTGATTTTGCCTGACGAACCCAAGGTGAGGTATAATTTCAGCATTGTCTCGAATGAGAATGAAGACTATCTCATTTACACCGCTGCAGATGATCAAATTAAGGACGAAACAGAGGCTGATACAAGAACAAATATAAAAGCTTAAATGAATTAGATTTTTCACTTGAGATGGTTTAATTTTTTTTTTTTTTTTTTTTTTTTTTTTTTTCTGTTGTTGTGGGTTGGTTTTGGGTTCCTATGCAACAGGAGGAGGAGACAAGAGGGCATGATCAAATGTCAAAATCTATAACAGAAATGCAATATCCAAAGAATGAAAGGCAGTCCAACCAAGAAGAAACTAGCAAATATTAGTGAATCAGCAAAACTTATGAATTTAGCAAATAAAGATCCTGAAGCCAGTTTCAAGCAGAAAAAACTTACTTGTGTAATATGAAGAGCCTGCTCAAGGCCCTGAATTTGAATCCACTGTTCTGTAACAATGTCAGCCATCTGAAAGCAAAGAGAAAGAAGCCAATGGCCAAAATGAACACCACACTAACAACATCACACACTCATAGCCATAGACCAAAGATGGATTGAGTACATCAGTGCATGACCTTTTGAGCCTGAGAGGCAGCAGTTTCGATTCTATTCTCGGAATCTTGTGCTTTAGACTCTAAAAAATGGTCCTAGGCGGGCGGCTAGGCGGCTAGGCGGGCGGCGAGACGGCTAGGCGGGCGCTAGGCGGCTAGGCGGCTGGGCGGGCCTCCTAGGCGGGTTGGGTCGTTTATCGTTGCCGAACCCGGAGGAGGAAGCAGCCGAAACCGAAGAAAACAAATCGAAGCTTGAGTTGAGAGAGAAGCGAAACTTCGACTGCAACCTCCGTCCCCTGCGAGTGCAAGCTTCGTGTTCGTTTTGAATATATTAAAAGAGTATAGCCGCCCGGCTATACACTTAAAATATTCGAATATATTAACATTTACACTTTTAAAATATTCAAATGTATTTAGAAAGTATAGCCGACCGGCTATACGTTTAAAATTTTCTAATATATTTCGCAATATACAATTTTGTAATATCATTTTAAGGTTTGGGGCTGAAATGAACGCAACATCTTAACCTTAATTTATCGAGTAAATAGCATATTTTTCTAAAAACATCATATCTTACAGGAAGTTATAGTGTAAAAGGCCTATATATCTGATAACGCAACATCTTCCTGGTAATTTATTGCGTGAATTGCCTATTTTTCTGAAAACATTATAAATTACGATAAGTTATAGTGTAAAATGCCTATATATCTGAGAAAACAAAATCTTACTCGTAATTTATTGAATAAGCAGCTTATTTTTATAAAAACACCATATCTTACTGGTAATTTATCGTGTGAAAAGCATATATATTTGAAAACGCAACATCTTACCCATAATATATTTGTGTAAATAACAAATTTTTCTAAAAACACCATATCATAAGGCTAAGTTATAGTGTTAAATGCCAATATATTTGAGAACGCAACATCTTACCCGTAATTATTGAGTAAATTGCATATTTTTTGAAAAACATCATATCTTACCGGTACGTTATAGTGTAAAAAGCCTATATATATGATAACGCAATATCTTTACCATAATTAATTTAGTAAATAGCCAATTTTTCTAAAAACATCATATCTTACCGGTAAGTTACAGTGTAAAATGCCTATATATCTGAGAACGCAACATCTTAACCTTAATTTATCGAGTAAATAGCTTATTTTTCTAAAAACATCATATCTCACCGATAAATTATAGTGTAAAAAGCCTATATATATATATATATATCTATCTGATAATGCAACATCTTACCCGTAACTTATTGCGTGAATTGCCTATTTTTCTAAAAACACTATAAATTACGGTAAGTTATAGTTTAAAATGCGTATTTATCTGAGAACGCAAAATCAATGCCTATTTATTTGAGAACGCAAAATCTTACCTGTAATTTATTGAGTAAATAGCTTATTTTTCTAAAAACACCATATCTTACCGGTAAGTTATAGTGTAAAAAGCCTATATATTTGAGAATGCAACATCTTACCCATGATTTATTGCGTAAATAACATATTTTTCTAAAAACACCATATCTTAAAGCTAAGTTATAGTGTTAAATGCCTATATATTTGAGAACGCGACATCTTACCTGTAATTTATTGAGTAAATTGCATATTTTTCGAAAAACATCATATCTTACCGGTAAGTTATAGTGTAGAAAGCCTATATATTTGAGAATGCAACATCTTACCCATGATTTATTGCGTAAATAACATATTTTTCTAAAAACACCATATCTTAAAGCTAAGTTATAGTGTTAAATGCCTATATATTTGAGAACGCGACATCTTACCTGTAATTTATTGAGTAAATTGCATATTTTTCGAAAAACATCATATCTTACCGGTAAGTTATAGTGTAGAAAGCCTATATATCTGATAACGCAACATCTTACTTATAATTTATTGAGTAAATAGCCAATTTTTCTAAAAACACCATATCTTACTAGTAAGTTACAGTGTAAAATGCATATATATATATATATATCTGAGAACGTAACATCTTAATCTTAATTGATCAAGTAAATAACTTATTTTTCTAAACACACCATATCTTACCGGTAAGTTATAGTGTAAAAAGCCTATATATTTGATAATGCAACATCTTACCCGTAATTTGTTGCGTGAATTGCCTATTTTTCTGAAAACACTATAAATTCCGGTAAGTTATAGTGTAAAATGCCTATATATCTTAGAAGGCAACATCTTACCCGTAATTTATTGAGTAAAAAGCTTATTTTTCTAAAAACATCATATCTTACGGGTAAGTTATAGTGTAAAAAACCCTATATATCTGATACCGCAACATCTTACCCGTAATTTATTGTATAAATAGCATATTTTTCTAAAAACACCATATCTTAAAGCTAAGTTATAGTGTTAAATGCTTATATATTTGAGAACGCAACATCTTACCCGTAATTTATTGAGTAAATTGCATATTTTTCGAAACACAACATATCTTACCGGTAAGTTATAGTGTAAAAAGCCTATATATCTGAGAACACAACATCTTACCCGTAATTTGTTGAGTAAATATCCAATTTTTCTAAAAACAACATATCTTACCTGTAAGTTATAGTGTAAAATGCCTATATATCTGAGAACGCAACATCCTAACCTTAATTTATCTAGTAAATAGCTTATTTTTCTAAAAACATCATATCTTACCAGTAAGTTATAGTGTTAAAAGCCTATATATCTGAGAACACAACATCATACCCGTAATTTATTTAGTGAATTGCCTATTTTTCTAAAAACACCATATCTTACCGGTAAGTTACAGTGTAACATTCCTATATATCTAAGAAGGCAACATCTTACCCGTAATTTATTGAGTAAATAGCTTATTTTTCTAAAAACATCATATCTTACTGGTAAGTTATAGTGTAAAAAGCCTATATATCTGAAAACGCAACATCATACCCGTAATTTACTTATTAGGCCATCTCCAGAAGTGGAGGGCTAAACATAGCCCATCTATAAAATTTAACACACTGTTTATAGTTTTTTTTTAATCAATAGTGATGGACTATATTTTTATTGTAAAATAGACCTGAAATAATAATAATGGCTAGCTGACGTCAGCAGATCTGAAATAGCACATCCATGAATATGGCCAAGTTTAGCTCAGCACTTGGTCTCTTCAGCTTGCTAACTGGGTTTGACCAGTGACATGGCAAGTTTAGCCAACTTGCTGGAAATGGCTTTTGGGGTATGAAAAGGCTTAATTTGTGAGTTTAACCCACTACTGGAGACAGCCTTAGTCTTCATGGGGGCTAATTCTTCTTATTTCAATAATATATCTTCATTATATTATACATAGAAAATAGAATAATTTCATTGCCACAAAGAAGATAAATAATTATTTTTTCAATGATTTGGAGCCTTGATGTAACCAACGTGAGTGGAGTCGGCAACCTTAGTTAAAGTTTTCAAATCATAAGCTATCAAACACCTTGATGTATGTTGGTTGTAAAAGTAGCCCAAACACTTGCAATCCGATGTACATTTACTAGCACAAGCATTCTCCTTCACACCATATCCCTCTGTGTCTTTGCTAAAGTGATCTACTCCTTCAACTTTATAGTAATGAAAGCTGTTTGCCTCGCAAGAAGGCAAGAACTTAGCTTCTTAGGCACACGGCTCTTGCTCCAAATCAATAGTCTCTTGGACGATGGGCAACCAACGCATTGGTTGTCCTCACAAAGGCCAAACTTCCCACATCGCTCGGGCGATTCACACTCACTGATTTCCCATTGTGGTAAATCTCTACTGAAAAGTGTGAAGGTTACCTCCCATGCACCCCAATTTACGTCTTCGTAGTAAGTGTAAATCCTAAGGTTTCCATCGATTTCAAGCCTCAAGAACGAAAGCATGCTGTTGTATTTGGGTCTAGCCAGAAGGAATTTTGTAGCATAAGAAGATGGCTTGGCCTGGATCTAAGTTTATGTCATAGGCATGGCCCTCATATGTGTCCGGGGTGCAATTCAATGTCATATGGTCCCATGATTCGGTTATATCAGATCTCATATTCAAATAGGGTAAAGGCTTTGGAGAGTTCTTGCTCTTATAGTGCATAACCAATCCTTTAGGCCCCAAAATCAAGCTATAAGCTCCATTATAATTTTCTTTCACGGAGGCTCGTCTGTTGGGTAGTCAAAGCTTTGCCAAATAAAGTTGCTCTTGGTCATTGAGTTGTAGAGGACCATGTTTCCAGTTGGAAGCAGCTTGAGGCCTACCACACCTTTGTTTTCAGTGTTGGTTTGCCATGCCACTCGGCCATCCGTGTCGGTAAACAAGGTTGCTGTCTGTCCCGAATGTGAGAGTGGCGTTTTCGCCAACCCGGTTTCCCCGGTTGACCTCCCAAACCCAAGCAAGGGTGGTTTTAAGTACTTGAAGAAATTCCCATTTGCAGAGCAAGAGTGAAGGTGTTGGGGGGTGGTGTTGTAGAAGCAAAGTTGAAGGGGGTAGTTAGAAACATTGAGAACTCGATATGTAGCATCATATTCTACAAGAGAATAGTTAGGAAATGGTATATATATCCTTGGAGAGGATCTTCAAACTCTCCTCTCTTGAAAAACTTGAAAGTTTGATTTGTGGGAACTTAAGCTTGAGCAATGGAACAAATGTTTGAGAAAATGATAAGGGAGAGCAATGACATGGTGACTTAGGGGAGTTCATTTTCTATAGCTTGCTTAAGGCCTAGATAAACCCTCTATTTAATTATGATTGAAAATCAAGGATAATTATGTAACTACACTCAGCCCTTTACAGCCTCAAAGAGAGATAACTAATGCCTTTGAAAAAATCGACAGTATGGATATGTAAATTTTGCTGTAACCATTAAAGATTGATCATCGTTTAAACTGTATTAATTTAAAAATAATTTAGACTCTTTATTACTGGGTGCCATATGCTGAAGGCCGGCTCTATGACATGCTTTACCCTTTCAATTAGTGAAGGCTTCGAGGGCCATTCGCATTCAATATTAAAACAAAAACAAAAATGCAAGTACGCATGCAATAATATTAATATGGTATTGTAACTTCTTTCTTTATTTTTAAATTTCTATGTTGATCTGTGTTAATGATCAAAGTTACGTTGTTTTTTAGGCTTATAATTCTTTATTTTTTTATTTTTTATTTTTTATAAAATGCAAACGATAGCCACCTAGGCATTTAATTGTCTTTGCTAATGTTTGGTTAACAAAGTGGTTTAAATGTAGGATTTTTAGGAGTTTGTGTATGCGTTTGTAAATGTCCGACAAATCATGTATGAATTAGAAAAATTCTTTATAGTTTGGGAGGTTACACGTAGATAAATTATACATTACTCCAATACCACACTATAATTACTCAAAAATAAGTATTATACGAATACAAGAGTACACTATTGGTATATGTAACTTGGTTTGAAGAACCCCTAGACTTTATTTCTGATGTCTTGTTTGAGAATTGTAACCGTTAATTTGTACGGGAAGCTTTTTAGGGTGACGAGTTTTCTCTACTCTGTTGGTTCTGCTAGAGAAATTCATCTAACCTTTGAGATATTGTCGGACCATTCTGTAATCTTGGTTCTCCTCCTTTCAATAATTCACTATCGTTTCTCCTCAAAAAAATAAAGGGAAATAAGCTGGTGTAATCACAAATCAGAAATAGTGTGCTGAAATAATCAGGCTACAAATTGTATTCTAATATAATCACTTGGGGACGTGAAATGACCGAAGTGCCCTCCATATAAAAACATATCTATTGGGGAGTTATTGGCCATGGATTGGCGACCTAACACTTCTGTCTTTCTCAGCTCTGTGTGACGGTCGTCTCTTCCTCTCTGTCGGCGCTTTCTCTCTCCAGCGGCCACCACCACTCTATGTCTCCCTCTGTCCCCAAAATCTAAGCAGCACTCTCTCGTTCTCTCTCTGCCGTCAATGTTAGGGTTTGGGGAGGCGGTTATTGACGTTTAGGGTTTCTTCGTTAAATGTTATCTCCCTTAAACGATTTCTCAGTTCCCTATCTTTTCATGTCTTGAATCGAAGTCTTTCTCTTCTCCTCTGCTCCTTCAGGGCCTCAAAAAACCCTAAATCCTGGTTTCGGTTCAGACTTAGTTCACATACTTCCTCCTCCTGCTCAATCCTGTCAAAGACAAAAATCGCGATTTTCTGTAGGTGTTGCTCGGATTTCCAATTCGGTTCTGTGCACAAAACGAGTGATTCTAAGGTTGGTTTTGTATTTGTTATTGACTAGTTTGTGCATTTGTATGGTTTTCATTTGAGAAGGATAATTTCAGTAACTTGTGACTGATGTTGTGAAGTTTAGTAATTACAGAGATTGCAATAATAATGTATTTTAACTGTGAATTATTTCATGCTTGGATGAAACTTGTATTGGTGTATTGATTTTGCTCTGTGGACGATGAAGTGCCTTAAGTTGGTATTTGTCATCTGGGATTGGTTCGTTTGTGATGCGTGTTTTCACTTCCATTTGATGATGCATATTTAGTGTGGGAATTTATTCTGGTGGCAATGGCTATTCCATTATAACACAGGTTTACCTCACTAGGCCCTAAATTAGCTGTTGAGTAATAATGCATAAGTAAATTTGTTGGTATCATTGCTGTTTCAGCACCTAGTAGCATAGTTTTGCACCCTTCCAGTCTTAATGGTTAATTATGTGAATTTGAAATACTAATGTAAGTTGGCGTGGGATGTTTCTTTTCCCTGTGCTATAAAACCTGCTAAATTTTGTTGTTAGTCCTTGCTTGCAGCTTGTCATATATGTCTGAAAATGGTATTTTCTTGGGCTTTAGTATCTGTTTAGAAATTTCATGTTCATCCAGCTATGTTTAGCAGTTGCAACTGCAGTAACATTTTGACGTGTCTAGTTTGTACACAGAGTCCATAACTGCCAATACTGATGTTCCATGAGTAGACATGTATATGACTATGGTAATGAGTAGATTTTAGTACGCATTGATGCATTTGGAGTAATTGTTGTAGCCATTTCGCCAAAACCCTGTATGAAGTGGATCCGTGGTTCATGAACTTGTTTTCACACTTGGGTGGTATTTGGTTTTTGGATGGAATCGAATATAGATTTTGTAGAAGGGAATGTAGATAACAGCAGAGTGTGGAGAGAGTTGGAGAGTAGAAAAGAGGCTTCAAAACAATTCTGGTTTTGTCATATGTATATACATATATTAAATGACTTGAAAGTATTAGTTTGAGTAATGTACGTATGAAATATGGGTAACCAATGATCCATATGTATGATGTTGTTGTGCAGGGAACTCTAGAATGGCTTGTAAAGCAAAGCTTATGATTCCTGAGGATGAGAAGTACGAAGGAAAGCCATTTGCCCTTTCACACGCAAGGACCGCCATTACAACAATAAAGGCGAAGTTCAATACGCAGCAGTTACAGAGGTTCGAGGGGAGTTGTTTTGGTCATCTATTACTGATAGAGGACCTGAAGTGGAATTCACAAGTTGTCCACGGGCTGTTGATGAGGAAGGCTGATCCTAAGACAGTTACACAGGTGAATGGGATAAAATTCATTGTGGGTAACAAGTTGATACAATTCACAGCCCAACACTTTTGCCTCATCACGGGCCTAAGGTTCGGAAAGCTCCCTTTCATTCCGAGGCCGACAAATGAAAACTGCTCCTTGAAGCGAAAATACTTCAGTAGCAATAAACCTCCCACCCTTTTGGACCTACACACTGCCTTCATCGAGTGCACAGATGATGACGATGCGTTAAAGCTTGGAATGGTCTATTTTGCCATTTTTGTGCTATTGGGTACTGAAAAGCATGTGCTTATTGACATGCGCTATTTGAAGTTGGCCGAAGACTTAGAAGAGTTTGACAAGTATCCATAGGGTGCCGTGTCATATGCGATGACAAATGCTTCACTTTTGAGGGCAGTTTCTCCTGATTACCAACGAGTGAAGGTGCCCCAAAACAAAAAAAAGCCCAACAAACGTGGGAAGAAGAGAGCGCAGACAAGAATGGAATGCAGTAGAGCCAGAGAGTACATCATAAGGGGGTTTGGCTTCGCTCTTCAGGTGAACACATATCCAACAATGTTTTAGTTCATTTAAATACATGTACAGATTTTGATGTTTGATTGTTGTCAACAGATTTGGGCTTTTGAAGTCTTCCCAGCATTGGAAGCATTGCATTTCACGGTCCATGAAGACAATAGGCACATCCCTCGAATATTACATTGGAGGAGCAACACGGTGGCCCGTTTTTGGGAGGTTATGAGTCAGGTTTATGAAAACTTTGAGGTTAGTTCAGTTTGTATTACTCAGGTTATGATTAGGAACAAGTAAAAAGTTCACTGATTTATTAGATGTGTTTCAAATGGAGGTTGATGTGCAACTTCTCCGGCCGACTGATATTGAGAAGCAACAACCTTACTGGAGTTGGGGTGATGATGAGAACAATGAAGAAATTGTTCAATTGTTTGGGGATGAGGGCGAAGACAAAACCAGCACTTCTAGTGAAGAAAAAGAGGCGGATGTTGAGGAAACAACTACCCTTCCCTCCTCTTCTAAGGTGAGCATGACCTTTTTCCAATGTTGTGAAAATGTAGAGAATACGATACGAAAGAAGTGGAAATAGTTTTCTTATCTTTTGTAAGATTTCTAACTGTTGCATTATAACTTTATGCAGGGCAAAGGGTCTTTTAATGACTTTGGCAGGTTGAAGCATCAATTAGAAAGCACTAAGGATGAGTTAGCAAAGCTACGTAGTTCAAATCGGGGCCTTAGGAACAGAGTTCGTGACTTGGAAGCTATTGTAGACAAGAACTGTTTGAAGCATGAGAAGGAGTGTGACAGAAATAAAAAGGCTATTGGGGATTTGACCCTAACAATTGCTTCAGTGGAACATTATTTTAAATTGGGGATGGAGGAGTTAAAAAAATTATATGGTGGAGAAGGGCATGAGGAAGTGTGGACTGCTCAGATGAATGAAGGAGGGCAGAATGAAATGTCACCCTTGAATGAACTTACTACTCCGACTACAGCAGGGCCTAAAATGGACGCACAAGTTGCAGGTGATGGAGTGGAAGCCTTCCCAGGCATGCATACAGAACGGGCTGAAATGGAAGCAACAGTCTATGGTGGAGTGGAAGGGGCTGAAAGGGAAGCGGAAGTCCCTGCTGATGGAGTGGAAGCTTTTGTAGCCATGCATATACAAGGGGCTAAAAGGGAAGCGGAAGTCCCTGCTGATATTGTGGAAGGCTTCCCAGCCATGGAAGTCGAAGCCGCTGAAATTGACACTTCAGTTTGTGACAAACAAGTGCACCAACAACCTCACAAGGTTCCTACTTCGGAAGATGTGAAGGTTCCTAGTCTTGAAGATCCCCTCATTCCTAGTCCGGAAGATAGGGAAGGGTACAGAGTTATTTGTAAAACAATGTTAAATTTGTTAGAGGATTGGAATAAGAAAGAAATTCAGGGGGTGGGACGCAAGGCGAGGCCTCCCATGGAAACTAGTATAAATCTGGTTGGTGATGAAGGGGACAAGGAGGCTAATGCCACGGTTCAGAAACCAGATGCGGAAGGCAAAGGATGCAGACTGAAGCGGCCCGCGAAAACATTGTTGAGTCCATTCACTGATCCCTCCAGGAAAAAGAGGCCGACTTCTGGTTTTCATGCACAGACACCTGAGGCCTGT